TTTTTTTTTCAAGATTATAGGTATAATTGTTGGCTTTCTTAAATGATTCACATTACAATTCCAGTACTGTTTGATTATTTTCAAATTTATGTTCTTTGAATTTTCCACAAGAAAGTCCATTTTTTCTTTTCATTGAATCAGATTAAATCAAATTAAAAATTTCTGAATATATTATTTCTCACCTCACACAAAAAGGAGTACTTTGAGGATTTCCATCCCCTGCCCATTTTCTGTTCCCATTCTGTCCTTCTTATGGGATCCTTGGGAAATTGGAAAAAAATAAGTCCTCCTTTTGTTCTTTTATTGCCACAAGCAATACAAGAATCAGGCATCTGGGAGGAAATAAAAATGTTTTTTTCTAAATCAAATCAATACAAAATCATAATTATCAAAACTGTTTTCCAGTTGTTTTCTATCTTATCTAATTGATTAAAGAAATTGAATTGATTCTACCCTATCAGATAATGATAGTACAATAATATAAGGTATATGGGATTCTATTTTTCATGTAGATATACTGAGAAATCAATGGCACCTAGGTTACTTCATAATAAGTATTCTATATAGGTTGTGAGTAGAAAACTGGAAAACATTCCAGACATTGCACAATACTTTCCATCTCAATACAAATATGTCCATCACTCAGTAATCACTTTCATCTCCTGTGCTGTTACCATTTGACTTTACAAATGAAAAGAAGGATTTTTGTATTGAGTGTAGGCAGGTATATATTTCTTAAATTTTGCAAAACCCTTTCAACTTCAATGCTACAGATCAGTACAAAAGTAGTTATTTTCTGTAAGAATTCACATTTTCAGATTACAGATATTTTTTTTATATTTCATTTTTTTCATGTTCATGACTCTATATTGTAATATCTGAAGAATCATTAGGATTATTACATAATACAAAAATACTTACGATGAAGAGTTCTTCGGTCTTCTCAAAATTTTCAAATTTATGTTTTTTTTATTCTATTTCTGTTTATAAAGTAATCACAGTTTTTCCTGAAATGGTAAACAGACAGACAAACAGCAAGAAACAGTGAAAAAGTGACACAGAATGCATAGAATCATGAGAGAATGCTGGAGAAAATAAAACATGCGGATGCACCTCCATCTTAATGGCCTGACCAATCAAAAAGTGAACCACTATTGACGGCACTCTATTTATATAGTCACTCTAGTGAGCAGTGGCCAAAGCAGTGGCAACAACTACACGAGTACACGAACCCGTTTCGTTTTGCCCAAACTTCCGTCAATGTCAATTGTCAATGATCAAAAAGTGATCAGAACACGAGAGCTTACCGACAGTTACGCATACTACATCTAGTATTCTGACTGAAGGAAGGTGAATATCCTTTCTTTTTTCTGAACTACTCAGCCTGAATCAATAACCTTCTTCCTGTAAAATATATTTATCGAAACCTAATTACTTGAGGGAACAATATTGAAGGTTAATTTTTTTGAATAATCCAATCGAACTGGACCTAAATGAACCATATTCGTGGAAAATTCATTCGGAAAATCACTTGAGTACGAAAGCGTAGACGGGCCACCAAAAATTAAAAAAATACTCAGCCATTTTATAGCTAGTTCCAGTCTTTTTTCCAATTTATCTAGCTATTGAAATTACATCTAGCCATTTAGCCATTTGTTCTAGCTATTTTTTCTGGAATATTTTCATATTTATAAAATTTTACATGCACGATCTACTATGAGTTAAATTACGGGAGCGTGAAGTTTTCGAACCATTCCTAAACATCATTGTCAGATTGGTCACAGTGAATCACGTTATACATTATGGACGCATGAGCATTCGCCTCGCATTCGTTCGAATAAGAATGAGTTAATAAAGAGACCCTCGCGATCTCGAGAGGAAGGAGAAACATCCTTGAAAGCCTAAATCACTTCGCAAATGATCAAAGTGGGCTGACGCCATGCTAATACTGGACCAGAATAAAACTTCCAGACCAAACTCAGCCTCCACGATTTTATTGCGAAAAATAATCGTCAAAAAACACGAATCTCGACCTATTCAATGAACTCAATATAAACAACTACATTGAGTTTAATGAACTAATCATGTGATGAGAATGATTCGGAAGATTTTGGCACTTCTGTCAAATTGACCAGTCTGTATTCCCTTGAGGAAGAACAGTTTAACTGATCTTGCGCCTTTTAACCAGCACCATTTTGTACTTGAATTAGTATTTTGTTTTGACAATTAGTCTACATTGTTCGTATCTGCTGGTTAATAAAGACACTATTATTATTAAAGACACTATTATTATTATTATTATTATATAATACTGCAGGAAGATCCTTTTTCACGATTCGAGTCGAATCGGCCATCTTTATTCGATATTCGGTGTTCTTGAATGAATCGTGTTAACTCGACTAGATTTCTCGATAGCTCCAGAGGAGTCGAATTGATATGCGTTTTGTCAATCTATTTTTATCTATCGTCGAATGTTTCTTTTCTAGAGATGGAAAACGATCGATAGTTTATACTACTGACTAAATTTTTTCTTTTAATTGAATCTGTTGTTGTTTCTTAGTGTTCGGAAACATAAGTAAGAACAATGCTTTGGAATTCGTTGCCACCGGAAGAAGTACCTACTCCCAAGAACTTATATCTCCAAAAGATAAAAAACAAAACCATTACCTACCTCCTCCTCCTTTCCGTCCAACAAGGCACGCAAGATGTTCTTCGAACATTAAAGGGATTCCCTCACATATGCTCCAGGAGATGAAAAAAATTATATGTCCAAAATGCGCATGATTCATGTTCTCCAGTTTGACATCGTTAGTGGCTCACCTGTATGAGCGGTCTAGATAGTAGGTTATGTCAGTGGTGGATTTAGCATGCCGTCACATTCACTCACAGACTATTCAGAGCGATTTGGGCAATGTCAGTAGATTCAAATCATTTATATACAGAAAATGTTTGGCCACGAACATCATTGAAGTAGCGATTGAATTACTATCGGCCTCAGCAGTAAATGTTCAGGGAAGAAGAAGAATATTCCTTCTGCAAGAAAGGAGACTACTTTTCTTAAACAATAACCTTACTCGGCCTGAATGAACCTTCTTCCTAAAAAGTATGTTTTTCGGGAAATCGCCTGAAGAAAAAAAGAATAAAAATAGCCGGGTCGCCGGTGTGGAATTTGAACATGCAACTACACCACGCGGCTATTCGGAAATTATAGTACGAAGAATAGTTAAGTTACTAACGTTAAAAGGCAGATATGTATCAAATAACGGATGAGCTTGAATCTTGTAATCCGAAGCGCATCTGAGAATTATAGCAACCAAATCGGTCAGTTACAACAAACTTATTGGAGTGCGTGAATGTCTGGTCAAAACATTTGGACGATAATACCCCTATGGATATTATTTATCTAGACTTTTCTAAAGCATTTGACCGTGTCCCTAGAAAAAGACTTTTGTGTAAATTAGAACATTTTGGTGTACGCGGGCTACTACTGACGTGGATCCAGAATTTTCTAGAGAACAGATATTTTTGTGTTCGGATAGATGATTGCTTCTCTGACCAATATCCTGTATTGAGTGGAGTTCCCCAAGGATCTGTACTTGGTCCTCTGTTGTTTTTGTGCTACACATCAGATTTATCACATATTTTTAAGTCAACCTGTTCTTTTTACGCTGATGACACAAAACTTTACAACAACACAAAATCACAACATATATTGCAAAATGACTTGATTGCCTTATACAACTGGAGTTGTGAGTGGTTACTGAATATTGATAAATGTGTTGTACTTCACCTTGGTAAAAATAATCCTAGACAAAATTATACCATCAATGATGTGCAATTAGTTAAGGTTGAATGCCACAATGATCTTGGAGTTACCATAACCAGCAATTTAACGTGGTCACAACATATTTCAAACATATGCAAACGAGCGAATACAAAATTGTACCTCTTGAAAAAAGTTTTTCCGAAAACGTCACCTGAAACGTTCACTAACCTCTACAAAGTTTATGTTAGGCCAATCCTAGAATATGGAGGACAAGTGTGGAACCCGGAGTTGATCAGAGATCGTAACATGTTGGAATCTGTGCAACAACGAGCAACCCGAATGTCCTTCGGTCTCAGAAGACCATCATACCATGAACGTTTGAATCAGTTAAGCCTGACAACATTCGAAGATCGAAGACATCGTGGAGACTTGATCCTAACTTATCGGATTCTTCATGGATTTCTACCCTCACTGAGTGATATGTTCCAGATAAACGATGATACACGATTAAGAGGACATAATTTTAAACTTAAGAAGGAACATTTCAGGTCGTCAAATCGGCAAAACTTCATAGTAAATCGTGTTTTCTCGGCATGGAACAACCTGGATACAGACATAGTTAATGCACCCTCAGTATCATCATTCAAAAGTCGATTAGATCGTATTACTGAGTAAATTGTTTTTGTTTTTTTCAGTTTGCATCGCATTATATCTGTCTATTTTATTTCGAAATGTTCAATTTCTATTCAACATTTTTAATTGTTTTTTCAATTTTATTTTTAATCTAATTGTTTGTCTAGTAGCTATTTACATATATATATAATATTTCTTTATGTGTACCATACAACTATGTCATGTATAAATGGGCTTTTATAGGTTCACACCTCAGCCCATTATCACTTTTTAATAATAATAATAATAATAACCTCAGACCGTTATTTACCTATCGGACGTGTGTCGTTCAAGACTTTTCGTGTAGTTAGGGAACAACGAATTGCAGCTGTTTACATTAACTTTTCAATTGTCGTCTGAATACCATTGAATCAAAGTAACATTATCAGTTCACGAAGAGAATTTAGTCGACACTTGCAGTTGCATGCACATGGACTATTTAGTGTACCCTGTTTCTAGATGATTATCAACATGCAGGATCTTCTTGAATCGTTCTGATGGGGCTATATGAATCGCTCGTACGTATGTCTGGGCAAAACGGATTCGTGCATAGATTCGAAGATTCGATACCAATGTCAAAATGCTGAAAGTGTCAAAACCACTGTCAAATCTGTCATATGTTTTGTAATCATAAAACAAATTGTAATATTTGTAATTTGTAAACGTAAACAAAGCGATGGAGTCTGCTGTGAATTTGAAATATTTTTGGAGGAAAACTTCAAAAAAGTATTGAATGAATGACTTTCCAATATTCGTTTGGCTGCGATAGCTAATCTCGAATCATTCAAAAGTTCTTAGGGTTTTATCATTCAAAAGTTCTTTGGGTTTTCAAAATGGTTCGAGGTAAGAGATTTGTTAAAACTTATTAGTACAGTAGTATTTTGTTTGGTTTTGGATGGTTTCGAGCTTCGATCATTCAAAAGTCGCAGGTTTCGAGATACTATTTTCTTGGTCGGTGTCTTTTGGGTTTGTTAAATTATCACAAACTTCCCAAAAGTTGTTATTGAAAAAATAACATTTTTTATATTTTAAGAGGACAAGAAAAGCATTGAGGTATAGGTGCCTATCTACTGCAGTTTCCCCGCCTCCGCTTTCCATAGTCCAAAATAGATATTTTAGAAAAACAATGAATAAGACTTTTTTTTTTACTTATAATCTAGGTGTTTATGGGCAATGATTTTCTAAAAACAAAATATATGCATTTTTGATGGATATTATACTCACCATTGAAGCTGCAGTCCTTTTTTTTCTCAAAAATAGTGAGCAAGCCCAAAAAGAAACTCCTGACAAACCCACATATTTTAAACAATAACCATATCTCATCTTTTTGTTGATGATTTAATTCATGTATAAAAAATCCCATAAGCCACTGTGATTTTGTCATTATGACAATGAAAAAGCTTTGCCCTAAGAGGCAAAACAAAACTTAACATTTGAAACCATCACTCATGTCATCATTCAATAAATAGCTATTCTGGAGTAGTTGATTTATCACTCATAATTACAGTAGAGCATCTATTTGTGGAAGTAGCTAAACTTGATTAAATTCTGTTGCCTGGGAATTGAAGGAAAAAAATGTTGACTTTTGAGTTTCCTAAAAGTAACAAAACTTCAATTATTAATTCAAAGTGTCAGTAACACAATTTAATGAATATGTAAATCCAATAAATCACACCATTGTTGATGTTTTTCCAATTTCTCCATTCAAAGTGATAATAATAATAATAGTTTATTGCTTCTTAAACAAGTTTACAGCACCGAGTGTATGAGGGAAAAAAAATGAGGATAATATGTATGTTTGTACTCTGGAAATAAAAAAAAAAAAACGATTGAACATTAAAACCTACCAAATACAAGGATAAATATCAATCCTTATAAAGAAGAAAATAATACAATTATAGTTTATTCATTCAAAATAAATGATCTCAGTTTAAATATATTCAGAAATTATTCTAGCATCACTGATTGTTATTTTTTATAAGGCAATAATTAATGTTTCCAAATTCCCTCGCAAATTCCTTAGACATGGAGATCCTTGTTTCATAACAGTGTAGATCGGACAGTGAAAAATAATATGGAGGAGAGTTCCATTTTCGTTCCTGTTGCAAACTGTGCGGCTGATTTGGATTGGTAATTTCAATAGTAAATAAGTGCTAGGTACCTTGGAAGTTCCAAGCAGATTGTAAATATACATAAAAGGGTAATGGGAAGATATTGAACGATCTGAGTCATGTAAGAATGTATAATATTCAGCACTAGCTGACCCGGCAAACGTTGTTTTGCCATACAAATTATTTCTAGAAAAAAAAATTTTAGATGGATATTAATCAATAAACTTTTAATATTTTATTTCTACTTCTCTTTAGTTTGGTTATCCATAAAATTCTTTATATAAAAATGTGTTTCAATATTTTTTCGAACTACTATTTATTGCAATAGCTGATACCCGGCAAACATTGTTTTGCTAAATACATATATTTCTAGAAAATACTATACCATCAATTTTTTACTTCTATTCAGTTTGGCCTCGAGTTCGGCTATCCATAAAGGCGTGTTCAATTATAGTGCTTCAAGCTACTATTTATTACAAAGCTCTTTCGCCATATTGGATCCGCCATCTTGAATTTCCTAATTCCAAAGAATAAAATCATAATCTCCGACCCCGAAAACCCACAGATACAAATTTTGAATAGAATCGGATCATAATTACAAAACTCGTCCGCCATATTGGATCCTTCATCTTCAATTTCCTAATTTTGATAGAAGAATCATAATATACGACCCCAAAATCCTCCAGTTACAAATATTGAATGGAATCGGATCATAGTTACAGAACTCGTCCGCCATATTGGATCTGCCATCTTGGATTTCCAAATTTTGATGAAAGAATCATTATCTCCGACTCTGGAAACTTCCAGATACCAATTTTGAATAGAATCTGATCATTATTAAAAAACTCGAAACGCCATATTAGATCCGCCATTTTGAATTCCCTAATTTTGACAAAGGAATCATAATCACCAACCTCTAAAACCCCCCAGTTACCAGTTCAATAGAATCTGACCATAATTACAAAAGTCGTCCACCATATTGGATCCGCCATCTTGATTTTCAAAATTTCGACGAAAGAATTATAATCTCCAACCCTGAAACCCCCCAGATACCAATTTTGAATAGAATCGGATCATAATTTCAAAACTCGTTCGCCATATTGGATCCGCCATCTTGAATTCCCAAATTTTTACGGATGAATCATAATCTTCGACCCCAAAAACCTCCAGATACATATTTTCAATAGAATCTGACCATAATTACAAAACTCGTCCGCCATATTGGATACGCCATTTTGAATTTCCTAATTTTGATGAAAAATCATAATCTTCGACCTCGAAAACACCCAGATACCAATTCTGAATGGAATCTGACCATAATTACAAAACTCGTCCGTCATATTGGATCCGCCATCTTGGAATTCCAAAATTTTACGTAAGGATCATAATCTCCGACCCCGAAAACCCCCAAATACCAATTTTCAATGAAATCGGATATTAATACTCGTCCGCCATATTGGATCCGCCATCTTGAATTTTCGATTTAAAAAATTGATTACGACCGATTCTCATACCTACCGACTACGCACAAAAAATTTCATACGAATCGGTCGAGCCGTTTCGGAGGAGTTCGACCACTAACACCGTTACCAGGACAGGAGAATTTTATATATTTGATATAAAGTATTTCTATGTTTGAATAAATTATTATAATTCAGATCATTCCATAATAGCAAGGTGTCAGAATCAAGAAAAAAAATTTTCATTTGCAAAAGCCAATTATACAGGGTAACTCACGGTCCATGGTACGTTAGACGTTTACGGAGAACGGGACATAGGATCAATCTGAAATTTTGGTTACTCACGTAGTTGCTCTTGGTCTATCGATCTAAAATATTTTCAGCTCTGCGGCGTTGCCGCTTCTATCGAAAAGTAACAACAACTTTGTTATTTTAAATGGAACACCCTGTATTTTATTGCATTTCCAGATTCTCTCTGAAGAGCTGATTTCATCGATGTATCACACTTGGGGTCTAGCGGAAATGATTACAGAGATGTAGGGTGTGAAAAATCGACATTTTTCAACTTTAGGAATTTTTTTTGTCGAAACTATTCATTATTGGTCAAAACGGCTCACATGTCCCTATCTCAACTTTTGATCAACTATCTACTGACATTTAACTGAAACAAATACAGGGTGGTGCAGAATTCAGAATCTTGATCACCCGGTATATGTCCCAATTAAATATCAGTAGATAGTTAATCAAAAGTTGAGATAGGGACATGTAAGCCGTTTTGACCAATAATGAATAGTTTCGACAAAAAAAAATTCCTAAAGTTGAAAAATGTCGATTTTTCACACCCTATATCTCTGTAATCATTTCCGCTAGACCCCAAGTGTGATACATCGATGAAATCAGCTCTTCAGAGAGAATCTGAAAATGCAATAAAATACAGGGTGTTCCATTTAAAATAACAAAGTTGTTGCTACTTTTCGATAGAAGCGACAACGACGCAGAGCTGAAAATATTTTAGATCGATAGACCAAGAGCAACTACGTGAGTAACCAAAATTTCAGAATGATCCTATGTCCCGTTCTCCATAAACGTCTAACGTACCATCGACCGTGAGTTACCCTGTATTTAGGGTCCGCGTAATTTATAATACGCCTTTGCTGTTCAAACCAAAGCCTTGGGTATTGATGTTTTTCCATCGAGAGTATTTTGCAAATCCAGTTCACGGATATTTTAAGCACATTATAATGAAGTTTCACCCTCCCAGTTTCTAAGACTCCAAATGATGTCATTTCAACAGATTCTGACAACACAAGATGGAGAAAAATTTACATGAAAGTTTTTTAACTGTCATAATGACAAAATCACAGTGGCTTATGGGATTTTTTATTCATGAATTAAATTGTCACTTATAATTACAGGAGAGCTTTTTTCTTTGGCATGTATCAATAAGAATTTTGTTGCCTGACAATTTGACGAAAAAAACAGCCTCTGAAAAAATTATGATTCCATAGGACGAGTAATTTTTTCTGGCAGTTTTTTGAGTTGAATTAGCTAATGGCAACAAAATTCGAATTATAAATGCCAAGTTTACTTCGATTGAAAAGAATAAGCTAGAGTGTAATTCGGTAAAACAATTTGATTCATCAAACATTTGTTCAGGGCTGGTTGTCATGCTTTCAAAAGTTAGGTTTCGTTATTGTCCCTGGAAAAGTTAGGGCAAACTTTTTTTGCTGTCATAATGACAAAATCACGCGGCTTGTGGGATTTTTCATACATGAATTGAATTGTCCTTTCAAAACGGCCTGTTCCTCAAAACCATACTTCATCTAAACTACTTACCAGATGAAGTGGGACAGCCAAAAAATTTACTAATTTTGATAAGCTATAACTCGAACATTTCTTGATATTGGATTTTCAACCAGAGGTAGAAAGCGTCATCCTTGGGCTATGCGTCATTGGCGTCCGGTTTTTATTTTTGCGATTCGTTCTCTTTGTACAGAGTGTGAATTAAGAGCCGGAAAAATTTCAAATTTTTTACCAATAATTTGGGAAATGTGAGGGACCCTAGAATTATTTTTTAGATGTTGGGTGAATGATTGGTCCGATACCTTGAGACGTCTTCGAAATTTTTTTGATAAATTGCGTTGCTATGGAAAAATCACCATTTTATGAAATTCTATTTTTATTTTAAAATGTGGCCTCTTTTAGTTGAACAATAACAGCCAACATCTAAACTGCAGCAAGGGATATTTTTCTACTGAAGATAATTAACACC